CAACAGCTCTTTACTTGTTTACAGTTTGACAGAAGTGTTCTTGCTGCACTGCTCGTAGCACTTCGTATCGTCCAATAAGGCGGGTGGGCCAGGGTCTAAGTGCATGCTAACATTTACAGTATGTATGCATGTTTTCCTTCTTTCTTTGAAAGAATTAGAATAAAACTAAAATACAAGGTGTCAGCATCCTTGTCAAAGAGCCAGCTTGTTCCTCAGGAGCACATGGTACACACGGTGCATCAAATACATCAAATGGAGCAGTCTCCCTGACCAGCAGCACAGTCACTGACTCTTTTGAAACTGGCCTAAAACCCTTTTTACGCAGGACATTTTTACCGTTTTTCCTATATTTTTACTAGCGTTTACTTTATTTGAACTATATTTTGCACGTCTGTTGATGAAGAGTGCATTATAAAAAAATGTGCAATTATTGTTCTTCTCCACCAAGTGTATATAAAGGTTAATGAATTAAAACACACATTTCTACCTTGAATACAATACAATAGTTATCAAGATAAAAAATGAACACCAAACTGAGTGCATGCACTGCAAGGAATTTCTCTAATTAAAAAATCCAGGGCTGAGATATATTTTACAGCAGTGGGCTTCCAATAGAGTCAGGACAATGTGCGGCGGTAGGCTCTGCTGTCCCTGTGAGGCTAGACAACATATGGCACTGCCTCCCAGAGAACAACACACCACCCAAGCAGCCTGGCAGACTCAGTGTGTGCATGTGTGTGTGTGTGTTTATGAATGTGTGTGAGTGAGTGTGCTTGGAAATGTCCCATCCACGTCCACATCAGCTGAACAGACATTTACAAGGCTTTCAAAGGGATAAGAAACAACCGTATCCTGATGTGGACTCAGAATGCATATTTCAATCCAAGCTGTATCATAAGCATGCTTGATAGAAGACGGAAGGACTAAATATTTCAGCATCTGCACGGCTCTAACATTGGCCAGCTTGTTTGAAAGAAATGCCGTAAGCCTTCCGCCATTACGAGGTAGTATTTTGTTGAGGATGCAGGACAGAGTTAGTGCGCCGAATTAGACTGAAGAGCGGAAGTCGTGATCCCCTGTCTAGAGGAAAAGTTTCCATTTTCATGTGAAGGAGTTAAAAGGGAAATATGAGAATCAATAAGGCATTAGTGGAAAGCCATTTAAAAAATCTGCAGCGATCTGAAACTAAAGCCTTTAGGTCAGGAAGTTGGATATCATTTATTTAGTGTGAGTTACCTTAAATCAAGTTATTCAGAGAACGTGTAAATTTATACAACAAGTTGCAGGCATCTTCACATAGCCAGCCAGTATTGATATACAGTGTTTGTTCCCAACGGATTTGTATCAAATATAAAGGGAGAGCATCTCTGCAAACAAACATGTGTGTTCTGTGCAGTTAGTATCCTGTGCCAACCCAAACAACCAGTACCACAGCATACAGCCACTTCAAATCCTCTAGTGGAGATATTCCTCTGGAAGGCCGTGATGAGAGGCTCGTGTAAGCAGCTCATCAGCAGCCTGTTTGCCCATATGTGCCTCACACCCCACAGTCCCCAGTGGGTCCTGGATCTGTGCAGTGATACCATCTCATCTGCCAACGCGGACCACTTTGGGAAAAAAAACAATCCCTCGTCTGGTGGGCCTATTCTGCCGTCACTGGCATGTGTTGTGATCTGCAGAGATCTGCAGCCAGTCTGTCCGCCGAGTGTCTAATCATACGCTGGCCAGTAGGAACAAAATAATTGCGGGTAAATACTGAGTAAAAGAAGTTAAGCTGGGAATGAGATGGAGAGAATAAAGACATGCAGTAAATTCACACGATAATATCTGAAATATAACACATGTAATACACATATCATACAAAATCTCTGAAAATTCCCTTTGTCTGATATTCGATTTCAGGCATCCTTGACTCAGGAGAGGCAGCAGCAGTTTTGTTTTTCAAATCACTAAGGTGTGAATCCTTGGGGCCAGTATTGATGATGACATATGCTGTGGGAAGCAGACGGACAGGCAAGCAGGGTCCAGTGTCGTATCTGCAGTGTGTGTCTGCAGGTCCCGCGCGGCGACGGTTCGCTTATCCCCCTGCCACCGCACATATGTTTGGGAAACGGAACAGTTGGACGTGGCCGAGGGCTAAAATGGGTCAGACCTACACAGATGGAGAAGAAACTCCCACTGGGTCGCTGTCAGATGACTAACACCCACATAAAAATGTGAGAGAATATACTTGCATGTTTAAGGGAGAAATGTAGTGACATTTTTGATAGAATCCAACAGAATTCAAATTGGGTCACTCTGTGCTTGAATAGTCGGAAAAAATCCAGTGGATGTCAAAAATACATGACATCAAATTTCAGCCTTCTTCTTTTTTTTTTACTTTTCTTCCTTCTGCTCAACCGAGTCAGTGCGATATTTGGGTTAGAATGAAAGTTTTGGGTTTAATTCCTGGCAACGTATTAGGAAATCAATTGAGAGTACAAGAGGAACCAAACACATCTATTGACAGGTGGAGAACAGCTTGTATTAATGTACCTCAGTGACAAAATCCAGACCAGTAGAAAGTTATATTCCGAGGCAAAAGGTAAAAAAATATAATTTGGTAATAATTAGCTGAACCCGCTAAACTTTATTCAAGACACTTTGGACAAATGTTCTTGGTTGTCGAAAACCTCCATTGGAAATAGAATATGAGGTAATACTTGTAGAGTTGAAAGGTAATTTGTCCATTTGTTCATTAGAAAAATCAAGGGGGGGGGGGATTCCTTTCAGTGTAATCCTTCACTGCCTTTTGATCTCCCAACGCAGTTTCTCAACACAAACAGCTGACGGATGAAGAGCCCATAATGCAGTGCCTTCCTGAATGTTACCGCCACTTTTTCCCGCCAAAGTTATTTACCAGCCAAGAGCTCCCATGTATCCACGGGTTGTTTCTCCCCACGTCTCTTTGGAAGCACTTGTGTTTAACATACGTTACCTTAGGAATCATCACAAAGCATCCGTCATCTAAACGACACCATGATAAGTTCCTCCGCGCGCAATAGAAGCCCGCATTAGTATGTGGGTGGCATGTGCTGTGTCAGGCAGTCGCATGTTTACAGTGAATCTCTTGGATGAAAGTCAAGTTTGCAGCTGCAGCCTCGGAATAATTCATCGCTCGCCTTTTTACCCAGGAGGAGCCACAGGTAGTTGATGAAGTGGCAGTGCCAAGACTCCCAACTGGCGAAGATGAAGCGCAGCTGGCAGGAGTCAGCGCGGCCAGATGCCGCTGCTGATGTACCATGTGTTCCAAGCAGGGCAACAGTGTGTTTGTGTGTGAGCCGGGGTGGGAGGGGAGAGAGAGCGGAGCACTTGCCAAGAGATTCTCACATTGATGCCAACCTGACACATGCTTGGGTACTCCCCACGGTTTGTGTTGCCATCTCAGCCTCTCTCACAGATCCATGGGGGGTCCCCGCTTTCTCTCTTTCCCTTTTCCTCAGACGCAGTCCTTTGCCAAGATGGAAGTTGGCGCCAGCTCGCGGCCGTCCTGCGCATCGGTAGCTGGATCCTTTCAGGTGTCCGTTGCTGGATGGTGTGTTGGCAGCAGGCCATTGCAACAGAATGCCAGCTTCTGCTGGATACTCGGTCTGATCCTGTTTGCGCAATTACCGTATCCATAACTCCTTTTGGCAGCCATGTCCTGTCCTCTCACCAGACGTATATACGTGACCCTATACCATCTTCCACTCTTCAGCAGACCTCAATGTGTCCAGTCGCCGTAGATAAGTCCTTCTGCCGCTTGGATTCCGGTCCCTGTGCAACGCAAGGCAGAAATGTGGCCAACTTCCAGGGAACAAATCCCAAAACATGGGTCGTCTGTGCCCCATTTTGTTTCATCGAAGACAACGTTCGATCTTTTTAAGGTTGAATCCTTTGAAAATGCGGCACTGCTATCTGAATAAAACAGACTAAAGACTGTGCGGACGGCTTACAAATAAAGGTCTCTGGAAATTACATTGCTACGAGGTAGCATAGCATCCCCCTGAAAACCGTTTTCCCGCAGAATGGGAACGAGTGGTCTTTGACGATACTATTCCTGAGAGTGGAGGGGAGTTCTCTGAAACAAAGGCTCCAATTTCGTTAGGAACATGCCATCATCGTTTGCAGTGTAGGGGGTTTGGGGAGGGAAGTGAAAACTTTTTGAACGTGTGCCATGTCTGTACCATTCTCTTATCTGAGGCACGCGACTGCCAGCTGGCGGCTGAATGTACCCACTTGCACTGTGATGATGAAGCCAGCCAAGCCAGTTGGCACACTGAATGGTAGGACTGGCATGTGATCTAAAGCAATGCAGCTCTGTGTGTGGTATTTTCATGTATACGGCATTCTCCGTTTCCCTGTCCTCCTATCTAGTGAGCAGTCTCTCCACTGAATCTCCAGGTCGTAAGAAAATGAGGTGGGGTCTCAGCCGTTAAGTTAAGAATATCAGGATGTAAGATAACAGCAACCAGTCATGCCAGTTACTCTGTAATCAACCATGAATCTAACTTGAACTAGCTGTCTGTGGACTGTAATTTAAATTGTAAGGAGGTCTAAATTATTGTGTTCTGACTTCTAATATCCTAAAAATGTGTGTAAAAATATCAAAAAGGCTGATCTAAATATACTCTATTAACTGAACATAAAGCAACGTGATTTATATCGGCAGTGTGGAATATTTTGTTGTGGCTCAGGAGCTGGGTTTGCAGTGTGCAACGTCACTGAAATGACCGGGCAGGAACCATTAAAGCAAGTAGTTTTATCCCGGAAGAGTAACACTGCTGCACCGTCCTCTACCAAAAGACCTACCGGCATTTAAGGTGAATGAGAACTGATAGCTTTCGGGCAGTGGAGCACGGGTGGCTATTTGGATGTATTAATGTAACGTTATCTTTGCTGTGGAAAGGATAGTTGTCCTGCCAGTATCGGGCTCGTCGTAAGTCCGCCGCTGTCAGTTACGAAACGGTCAATAACGTCAAACGCTGCGCGCGAGCTAAACGTGATGTTACGTTCATTGAAACCAATAACGTGAGCGGCAATTACAACAGAAGCACCCAACGTGAACGAATTAATGATAAACTGGACAATGTTTTACTCCATTGCAGTGGACACAGTTGACTTACACGTTATGTGTTTACACACAAGCTACCTTTTTACTACAACTTTAGCTCTGTAAGTGTATAAGTGCTATAACAGCTTCTACTAGTCAGAAGTCAATAGCTTCTGCTGTCTTGACCTTTGTCAATCCCCTTTTGGTTTTAACATCCCATTACTAATTCAGATTTTACCCTTTGACTTTTAATTGCTTATTATAATTGTCTGTGCATTTTAAAATGATATAATAAGCAATACACAAAGCCACAATCAATGTTTCACACGTGTCTTTAATTGATAGGTGCAATGCTAGATGAATTGAAATAAAGAAAAAGTGACTGTCAACTGGTGAAATGAAATATTACAGAGATACTGGGTCAAACTAAGCCTTTATGTCCCTCTCAACTCACAGATGTTGGACGGAAGCAGTCTGCAATATGCTGTGGGTGGTGCTGTCTTGAGGTTTTGACTTCCAAAGGTCCGATAATCTCAAATATGCTGTCGGGACGCGTTGCTGCTGCCTGCCGCTCTCTGAAGTGCACGTTACCTCACAGGAAAGCCAATCTACACCAAACGTACGGCCCATCAAGGCCGGGGCAATGGCTACTGGGAGCTGTGGCCCAAAGAGGGGCTCATAGATGGACCACAGCGCCGTCGTCGAGGACGAACCAGACGCCGGTGTTTAATAAAGCTCCAGCATTTGGAGATAAACTCGCGATCATCGACGGCGGTGGCGGCCACAGCTACAAGCAGCTGTACAGCAGCAGCTTAGTTCTTGCACATAGAATCAGCGCCGTCCTCCAGTCTGACTTTGGAGGTCTGGATGGGAAGCGAATATCCTTCCTGTGCGCTAATGACGCCTCCTACACGGTGGCACAGTGGGCCGCTTGGATGAGTGGTGGGACGGCAGTGCCCCTCTACCGAAATCACCCTGAATCGGAGCTGGAGTACATCATCTGTGACTCCCAGAGTTCCCTGCTGGTGGCGGGGCATCCCTACGCTGAAACGCTAGAGCCACTGGCACAGAGGCTGGGGCTGCCGTGTCTGACGCTGCCCGCTACTTCTAACCTGGGCACTTCAGAGGGGGCAGGCCGCAAAGAGGAGGAGACGGGAGGAGGTGTCACAGACTGGGCCGATCGACCAGCTATGATCATCTACACCAGCGGTACCACGGGGAGACCCAAGGGCGCTCTACATACACACAGCAGCGTCCACGCCATGGTAAGTATTCTCTCCAAAACAGATTTGTATCTGCTAACCGATGCTGAATCTTTGTGGAAGTTAAACATAACACTGTTTTACAGAAATTAATCTTTACTATAGTTGTTATTAGTGCTGTTTAAAACACACAATTTAATAATAATATTTAAATACTATAATTTGATGTTTTTGTGCTGTTTAATATCACATTTATAAGGGACTTATCCTTTTTTCAGATTCATCATAAAGAATATAGTAACATAGGATGTTCATAGTCATTAGAATATATTAAATGTGCTTCAGGAAGCTCCAACATCACTTACTGCAGAGTCAGAAAACTACTTTTTTTAGTTTTTTTAAGCAATTTCTAAATTTACGTTATCTTTTCAAACTTGTCCATGTTTGTCTGATTGTTTTGTTTAGGCCTTTTCAAATTCCATCCAATGATTGAAGTGACTATCCAGAGCTCAGACACATAAAATGTATGCATGTTTCTGAGTGCAATTTTTCAGACATCCCCACGCCTACATTTGACTGCCTAATTGGCATAATTAGGAATAATGCCTAATTTATGCCATTAGAGATCTCCTGAACATTTTCCTGGGTATTTTAAATTGAAATTGAGCTGCATGTCCAATATTGTGGATAATGGAATTCATCTGAAAGACCGCAGAGCCTCACTCGTCTCTGTTTGGACCAGAGAAGTGAGTGAGCAGATGATTTGGTGACTGTTGGTTTTCCTGGAAGGCAACAACACCAGCCTCTGTCAGGTTAATGTAGATGAAGACTGTTGAGTTTGTGATCGGATCCCATGATCAAACAGATTTTGGCGACTAAATTAACCTTGATGGAGGGTGGAGTTTTTCCATGTTTTGGATTAAGGGTCTAAGGATGGTACGGCCCTTTTAATAGAATATATTAAACGTTCATATTCTTTATTCCTCAAGTAATTCAGGGCTCAATTTCTGCAAGAAAAAGTCAAACCTTGTTTGACAACACTTTAAAAGGTGGCATAAATATGACAAATCAAACACTTAAACAATCGAACAGAGCCTAAATGAACTGTCTAGTCTGTTGTTAATGTTCTCCTTTTCCTGCAAACTGCTAAAAACATTCATTGATGAGACAACATACTGAGACACTCTAGGAGCTACAACGATACAATTTTAAAATATGACTGATAAACATCAGATTGTTCGCACTTCATGCAGGAAGGAATACATTGTTGGAGAGATGTACCAATGGCTCCATGTTCCCCGATTAGGGGAGCAACGGTAAAACAAAAATATTGAAAGTGAGTCAAGGAAAAATAAAGGAAACGTTATTTACAATTACAACTAACACCTACATTCTGAAAGGTGAGCGGTACTTATTATCAACAAATGACAACGTAAAAGACCACAACACCAAACTACTTGATCGGTCACGCTACTATCGCCGGAATACATGGATCGAACATAAAAAAACACCACATGAACACACACACACACACACAGCTTAAACGCTGCCACATTGTGCCTGAACAGTAGTCTCCCTAGAATAATAATGCATTTGGATTATAATGAGTTATTATTATGTTCTCTAGCTGCAACCAAATTCACTTTTCACAGCGGTTGTCAGAAGTGATCCTTGCAGCAGCAGAAAATTACTTCTGAATGTTTGAATACAGCAGTTCGATAGGAAAATAGGTACAAAAACGACTCAACTGCACAAAAAAAGCAAGACAAATTACATTCCATTTATCTGACGCTTTTATCCAAAGCCGCTTAGAATATGTGCATTCAACCAAGAGGGTACAGACCCAGAAGAACAAGAATCAAGAAAGTACAATTTCTTCAAAGCCAAACTACTAAGTTCCCCAAGTAAGTGCCATCTTAAGTGCAGCTAAAGTGCTACCTAGTCAAGGTATAGTCTGTAGAGGTGTGGTTTGAGTTTGTGTGTCTACGCGGGTAGACTGTCTTTGGGCAGCTCATTCCACCGTTCACCAGTACCAATGCGGAGGGTCGGAGTGGTGTGAGTGAATTTAGGCTGAAGACTAGAACTGCTGCGTTATGAAAGAGCTGCACAGGTCGGATGGCACCAGCAGGTAGAACTGTTACAATTGTCCGGTGAGATGAGCACAGCCTGTACCAGAACCTGGACCGCCTTCTCAGTGAGGAGGAGACAAATTCTTCATACATCGTGCAGCATGTATCTACCAGGACGTGTAGTCACGGTAATGTTGGCAGAGCGGGTGAGTTGAGTGTCACACCAAAGCGATCAGGGTTAATTTTCATCTACTGAGAGATGTCCGTCAAACATGCAGATACCTGTGTGTCACATTGGGGAAAAGAGAGGATTGGATTGTTGTCATCAACAAAGCCATGTGAGCGGATGACAGTCAAGACAGTCGGTGTACGGAGAGGCGAGCAGGGGACCGAGGACGGGGGCCTTGGGACATCCCGGCGGATCTGGCAGTTCACTGTATCAAATGCAGCAGGAAGGTCTATAGGAGGGAGGCGGCTTTAGCGCTGTGGGGCTGTTCAGACCGCAAGCAGGGCAGTCTCGGTTGAGTGCCGGTTGAGGTTGGGTTTCTTCTGCAAATGATTGAGGTCGCTGATCCCCATCTTTTCTTTCCCCCCCTGCCCCCCCCCCCCCCCCAGGTCCAGTGTCTGGTTTCAGAGTGGGCGTGGTCTAAAGATGACGTCATCCTCCACACCTTGCCGCTCCACCATGTGCACGGCATTGTTAACAAGCTGCTGTGCCCGCTCTGGGTGGGCGCCACCTGCGTCATGCTGCCCGAATTCCAGCCGCAGAAGGTCTCGACTGAACCCCGCCGCCCTCTTTCTTGTTCTTACTCTTTCTCCCGATTCACCTTTTCATGACCACCGCTGACGTTTTGGGGAGGTGACTAGGAGAGCATTTACAGCGAGGCCTAGAAATATTTCATACAGTATGTAGAAGTTCTGTGTGCTGCTGAGGTTAAAAAGACGTTCAGCTTTTTCTCTATCAGTGTTTCCTTTTTCCCCTTTCCTCTTCTTCCTCTTTCTCTCCTCCCTTGATCTCCTATCTCTCCTCCTCCTCCTCCTCCTCCTCCCTCACTGACTGTCAAACTAAGTGTTTGTGGCTCAGTGATGAATTGCCCTGTGTGGCTTTGTATCTGACCAATGCCGACTCACGGCAGGGGCTTAAGCAGCAGATCAATCGATGAGCTGACATTGAAGGATGATGGTGCTTGTTTGGCCCTGAGAAGGGAGGGGAAGATGGGCTACTAAGCGTGTGAATGTGTGTGTGTGTTTGAAACATACAGCCATGGATGCTCATGTTTGTTAATGTGTGTGTGTGTTTTTGTTTGTTTGCCGGGTCGTCTGCAGCTGCGGCAGTGCAGGTAGATGGAAAAGAAAGGTCTTTAAATGAAAAATATCACGTGTATTGCTCCACTGTTATATCAGTATTCAGCTGTTATCCCTGACCTTGTGTAGCAAACCGCAAAACCCCACCTCTAAGTAAGAAAAAAGCCTTTATTCTCCTCCTCCTGAAGTAACAGTACATTGATGAAGTGATCGATAGTCTGTCTCTTCTATCCCCTAAGATCCCTGGAGAATAGCCCAGGCAGCAGAGGCCGCCATTGATTTTTTTTTTTTTCTTTCTGATTTTGCCTGGAGATAGTGACAAACATTTTCAGTGTGGGAATTGTGATCCAATAAAACATACAGCATGTCTATTTCAAGTGTGCGGCTGCAGACTGACAGGAGCAGATACTCTTCCCGGGGTTCACACTGGTCACATTGTTTTGTTTATTTCAATCCCTACTGACTACTTCATCACAACAACGGATATATTTGATTAACCATGACTAGACGTGTTAACCAGTTGAAAAACAAATCTTCAGGCACTATTGACGCACTTTTTTTTTTAAAGGGAGGGATTAAGCCTCAATTCATTGTCAACCAGATTAAGGCATTTCCTTTACGGATTTTATCATTTGAAGATTTTCTAAAGAATTTTCTAACAATATCACACGTTAATGCTTTTTTGGGAATCCCCTCACTTCTCCCTGCATGCAAACGGCAGCATAAAAGTTTAATTCTTCCAGTGAAATAGCTTTACAATACTAGATTTATGGCACGACATTAGGTAGAGACATTCTTAATCACCTGATGATAAATCCCATCAACAAGTGATCCCCGACTGTTCCTTACGTGAATTTTTGCTGCTGACATTCCTGTTCCCCGTCAGAATGAATTGTAATCACTTTCCCTTTATCGTTAAAATGGGTTCAACATTTTAATCTGTCCAGCTCTTGTGTTCAAATGTTAGATCAAATGCATGCAAGCTGATTTTTTTCTGTTGAGTGCTAATTAGCAAGTATAAGTATGTTGATACATTAAACTAAACTGTTAAACATGATGAACATTCACACATTTACAGCCTCACAGACCCGTAGACTAGTTTTGATGTGAAGATTTAGGCCCGAGTTTCAGTGGTGGTACCAAACTTTTTTTTTTCCTTGTTTACAAAATAACCCAAAAATTGTTTTTACTGTATTAGTTGATGAAAAATAATTTTCCGAAGTAAACTTGTATGAAATTAGCAAAACTGTGGTAGCTGATCAAAGGACACACCTGATACAATGATAAAGAGTCTAATGACAAATCTTACCAAGCGTCAATGCCAACTTTTGATATCTGACAGTCTTTGACACTCGGCAGACGGTTCGACGTTCATCATCCGGTCCACCTCAGGAAGAATTAACAATCGTTTTGGAGTCCCGTGTTTTCGAGTAGACCATAGAGTTGTTTAGGATGCATCGCATCCTGTCCCCTAGGTGGAGTTCAACTTTTTGATGGACATAAATTGCCTTCCTCTCCCCTCCAGACTGGACTTGGTGGAAGCGCTCCACTGCACTTGATAGACACTACGCAGAGGAGTCAGGCCTCACTCGGTTAATAGTCCGTCTCTGCAGAAGGTTCTGTTCTGTATGTGGGCAGCTGACCTGTGAACGCCCCTCCATTTATATATCTACTTGTAATTATGTGTGTGTATGTATATGTGTATATATATATATATATATATATATATATAAAAAACTTAACTTTTCTGTCTTTTCAGTTATGTTTGTTTATTACGGTGGCGGAGGAGTTAGAACTCTGCCTCCATGTCCCACCCGACCCCTAATTGCTCCCCGGGCAAAATGTAAAACCACGGGTTAAAAATGCAATGTAAGTCGCTTTGGATAAAAGCGTCCGCTAAATGACCTGTAATGTATTATTAGGTGCAGAGGAGGGGAGAGAAGTTGCATAGATACCAGACCAGGGGAGTCTTCAGTAAGTCCACTCAAAGTAGGAGTGAAAGGAAGAGTTTAGAAATTGCTGGCATATTAAGAAGGATGTGGCGCTTCTGGAGGTGAGATGGATGAGGGGAGAGACTGCATCTCTCCGTCAGTGAGAGTGTATCACAGAGCGAGCAGAGGCAGCGGAGCAGGAAATTACGAAATGGAGAGAGAAGCTAAGTGAATGTGAGATAGGAAGCAAAGTGTGGGGGGAAAGAAAGAAGGATGAAGGGAAGCTGTGGGGTCAGCGATGATGGTAGGGAATGAAAAAGAAGCACTTGGGGATCGGAGGTAGAATGAGAGGAAAAGAAACGAGGGATAAGTAGACTGAGAAGGGGAGACAGACGGGGGAGGAGCGCTTGCCTCCCAGGGGGGGAGAAGCTGTCGTTCACCTCCACTTAATTCATGATGTCGTCCCATTGTAGGCGATGCACCCAGACTGTGTGTGTGTGTGTGTGTGTGTGTGTGTGTGTGTGTGTGTGTGTGTGTGTGTGGTGGGTAAAATAGCTTTGTCCTTGAATAAGTGAGTTTATTTGATATTTATACGAGCATGACAGTAGTTCACAATGTATGCTTGTGTGTGTTTAAAGCAGCCTGCTGGATGCAGCGGAGGGAACAAGTGGCTCCTTCTTCCTCTGTCAACAATTACATTGGTCCAAACAGCTGTACAGAAAACCGTCTAACCGGGCGACATGCACGCTCTGTTTTCCTCCTTCTGACCTTTTACAAATCTGCAAATGATTTTTCTTGTCTTTTCTCTAGCACCGCGTTGACAGGTTCAATAATAAACCCCTGTCCGGACCTTACTCTGCTATACAAAAGAATAAAGCAGCACTTTCACACTCGCCTATCAAATGAGTCTGGATGCAGTCATTTAGTTTGCATGGCCCCATCCACTAGATACATACTACAGTTGCAATCAAAATTATTCAACCCCCCCATTGCACATTAGGTTTATTGGCAAAATATACAATTTCCTTTTCACCTTTTCCTTATCCCCCCCTTGCCTTCCTGCCCATTCACTCATATGTAGTACTGTTCTCTCTCTCTCTGTGTCCCAGGTGTGGGAGATGCTGTTGAGCTCCAAGGCGCCCCTGGTTAACGTGTTCATGGCCGTGCCGACCATCTACTCTAAGCTGATCCAGCACTACGATCAGCACTTCACTCAGCCTCACGTCAAGGACTTTGTCAAAGCAGTCTGCAAAGAGAGGATCAGGTACTGGTGTTCAGTGGCACACAGGTTGCTCATGGGTTGATGTATATTCAGATGCATGTTTATGTGTTTTTATATATATATATATATATATATATATATATATACGTGTGACATCGCAACAACTAATTTGTCCAATGCATATACAAAAAAAAGGTTCTTAAACTTTTAAGAGCTGGAAGTCGTGATTCTCTCTCTCTCTCTCTCTCTAGGCTGATGGTTTCGGGCTCTGCTGCTCTCCCTCTTCCCACTCTGCAGCGCTGGGAGGAGATTACAGGGCACACGCTGCTGGAGCGCTACGGCATGACCGAGATCGGCATGGCCCTCTCCAACCCTCTCAAGGGCCCACGCGTCCCAGGTAGACTGGTTCACCCGCCAACCCGAAAAATATTTTTCTTTACAAATGAGAAGCAACCGCGTGAATGACAACTGATTTAATTCAGCCAACTTTTCATGGATTATTCTGCACTTTTTGGCCAAGAAACCAAGCTGTTGTGGTGACACGCACTTTCCTTTTCTGTTTATCACATACCTCTCAAACGTTTCTGCTTCTATTCTAAATCCCTCGCCAGTCACATTCGGCACTTCGGCTTCATGTGTCGTGTTTTGATCGTCGGCAGTTCTCTCTGCAGTAAAAAAAAAACACGATCCCAACGACACCTCCCTCACACATGCAAAAACAAAGGCAGTGTCTGGAAATGAGGTCAGACCGATGGTGGCTGCTTCTTTCTCCTGTCTAGTTCTCTCCCCCCCCCCCCCTCTCCATCATCTCCTTCCCGCTCCCCAGACAACTCTTCCTCTTACAGGTAAAGCTAATTAGCGTGCCGGTGAACGGGGTAATCCTGCATCCGCTGTTTTGTTTGGGAATTGTGTTTGTTTGTTTGTCAGGTAATGTTAGGCATAAACCGATCAGGCTTCGTTTGATTCCCCTCTGGTGATTATTAAGAGTGTCTGTGGTTCTATTGATGTTTCCACTTCAGACCTTTGGAGTGTGCGTATGTGGGCGTAGGTGCGAGTGTATGCCGGCACCAGTCTGTGCCTGTTTGCGTCCGTGTGTTCTCGTCTTGTTTTTAAGTAGGTTAAAATGGATCAATAGCAACCTCAGGAAACCCTCTCAGAAGAGCAGTGGAGAGGAGTCGACCCAGTGGAGCACAGACACACACACACACACTTACTTTCTTTACTTTTTCCGCGCTCTACCCACTGAATAGCTCTTATTTAATGACAGCAATTGTATTAATATTTTTCTGCTCCATTTAGGGCATCTGAATGGCCCGATTTCATTGTGTAGCCAAGCGTTTTTGGTATTATAGATGAACGGCGGTGAGGCTTTCTAGGTCATGTGGTCTTTGTCGACTATATGTATGTGAGTGTAGTTCATCCGTGTTCTTTTCATCTCCTGACTTTCTCTCTCAGCCTCTTTCCTCTTTTTCGATTGTTGTCTTTAAGCATTTCAGCCTTTTTATGGACATAGACGACATGGAGGACACCAAGTGTTATTTACCTCCTGATCAAGCCAAAGCTCCACATCTTTCTTTAAGAATAACTGTCGAACAATCTGATCTGGACATTTTGTCGCTCCGTTCTCCTCCCACATAGATCTTTTCCCCGTAGAGCATTGCCGCGTTTGAATCCTGCCTGTACTCTTCAAGGTGGCCCTCCATCTTGTTGAATCACAGAGACCCGAACGCGACAATATTTCTGCTGCTCCGTGATGTGAGATGAAAAAGAATGATGGTGGAGGAGGATGTGGGAAGAGAGATTCCTGGAAAGAAACCCTTGAATTGATTTTTGCCACGTCGTTGAGGGAGACAAGTGTTTTTTGTAGATGGGAGCGTTTTGGCTGTACAGGGTGAAGAACGATCTATTTTAGACAGGTTTTGAAAAGGGAACCGACTACTTAATAACTCACAATTCAAATTTCTGCATGTTCTTAAGAATTAAAAGTAGTTCCTTGCTATTATAAATGAAGTACTTATATGTATATTATTATAATATTATCATTATATCTGTAGAATTAAACACTGTTTATATTACAATGATATAGTTTATCCTAATAATCTATTAGACAATAAATGTTGATTTTGTGATGGCATGGGGCTGTAAGGGGGGGATTTTCTTTTTTATCGAACTATATGTCCAACTGGCAGTTCTCATGAAAAAAATGATATCAGAGCCACCTTGAGTTTATGTCTAAAATAACCGTGTTGTCACAAAATAAAGCAGTAATTATAACTTTGCTGGATGCAGCTTGTCTAGCCTTCTGACTCGAGCGTGTTTGTCGTCCTGCTTCTATAAGCGGCCTCGTTGCTTCTGAGTTCAGTTGGTTTTCCCTGCCGGACTGCGAGCCAGTGCTGGTGTTTGATAGACAGTGCCGATCGGGGCTGGAGTGGATACAATCAATATGAAGTGAGGGAATCACTCTTTAATCAGGACCTGACCTGCTCTTTATTGGGCGAGCAGTGGTCTGTGAAACGACATAATAGCCTCAAGGCAGGCCTGCACACACACACACACACACACACAGCCCACTAAGAGCACTAAGTTCTTCCTGGTGCCTCCCCACTGCACTCTTTGCTATAATTGCTTTACTGCAGAGTTCACACACACACACACAAAGATGGAGGCTGCAGGTGGTGTCAGTACATCTGGGGATTTTCAATTTGTAGCACGTTTTTCACACACTGTTTAATCATAGTTTCCCTTAAACATTACTGCAGCTCAGTTATGAATAGTTTTGCCGCTCAGTCCCCATTATATTTCATAATTTGTCAGCTCAATTATAACCTTTTTATGCGGCTGTGGTGCAATAACAGGCACTGTGAAGCACTCAGCGGTCGTCTGCACTGAAGGGCGGAATTCTACTTCAGAGTCAGAAACTGCATGAGACATTGAAAAATTAAAAAGTATGCCCGACCTTGTGAGCGGTGAAGCGGAGTTATGTCGTGAGTTATGGGTTGACTTAATGCCACAGACGCTGCTATTCGTGGCATTCTGAAAGGACTCGATACTTTTGATGGATCACAATGTCACGCCGTGTGTCCTGAGTCTGGTATCCGTCTATGGAATAGTAATAGTAATAGCTGATCACTCTATTGGTTAAGTTCGACTTACTTAACCTCATGGGCTTTTACTGTGTGTTTCTGCTTTTTCCGTTGACAGGAGCCGTAGGTTTGCCCCTTCCCAGTGTTGAGGTCCGCATTGTGATGAATAACACAACAATTGTGGAGGGAAATCACCGCGAGACTCGGGTAGGAAATTAGCCATTTTCAAGCTGTTTTATCGCCAGACGGTGAATTAAAACAAGACCGTACGTCAAGTAGTATGAGTGATTTTTGAATTTCAAACCCCACACTTTGCTGTAGAAGCCAGCTTGCTTATGTCCAATGGAAAGTCAGTACGCTTTCATAACCGCTTGCTCCGATCCTTCACTGTCTCGCCCTTTGTCTCCTGTTAAAACATCGCAGGTACGTCAAGGTCTGGAAGGGAAAGACGGGGAGCTCCTAGTTCGAGGTCCGTCTGTCTTCAAGGAGTACTGGAACAGACCTCAAGAAACCACTGAGTCTTTCACTGATGACGGCTGGTTCAAAACAGGTACCGAGCTCTCCTCCCCTTTCTCTTCACTCACCCTCCTCAACGCTGTGCCTGCCTTCACACACATTCCCTCGGAGGGAGTGAAGCCTGCCAGTAATTGCATCTACATGGGTTGTGCTGTCACAGGGATTCACAGAAAGATTTCTTCCATCTTTGGTACAGGCTGCACTTTCAGGGGCCTGATTTGAAACACTTATGGCGCGTTTCCACCGAGCGGTACGGGTCGGTACCCTTTTATCTGTGTCTCCACTGCCAAAAGTTGAGAATGGTACCAAAGATCTGAACCGTACCGTACCACTGTTTGGGTACCCTTCCGTTGGGGTACCTGGCACAGTTGTTTGGTACTAAAGGGTGGAGCTAGACTCTGCAGAACGGTGATTGGTTGAAAGAGTGTCGGCATTTGCGCGTGCCGCAAGGAGAAAGACAACACACGTAACACACTTGCAGCGTGTAGCCTTTGCTCAAACAAAGATTGTCGTCTCCTTGTGACAAAGAGCCGCATATCGAGAAGGAAGAACAGGATCGGCTGTATGTCCTCCATTGTTGTTTGCGGTTAGCTTTCAGTTTTCGCGCGATCGAATGACGCCTATCAAGTGACGTTATCACTACTTTCTGGAATACACCACGCCTATCAAGTGAGGGTACTGTTGGCGGTGGAAACGCTCGCCAAATCATGGTTAACAGACCCGACCCGTACCGACCCGTACCGTACCGCTCGGTGGAAACGCGCCATTAGAAACCAGGAATCCAGCCTAGTAGGCCACACACATACACACACACACACACACACACTCACACACTCAGAAACTCAACTGTGCATGCGCGTAAGTGTGTGTGTGTGTGTGTGTGTGCGTGAAAGGATTTGGGGGGGGGGGGGGGACTATGAGAGAGTGATAAATGGACTGTGTGTGTTTTTGGGGCCCCCAGGGCATATTTTTCTCTCCAAGGGGGTGGGGCCCTCTGGGGGTCTAAGAACAAAAGTAGGGGCCCCCCCCCCCCTCCCGCCCCCCCCTCTCTTTCCCTTTTTAAGGGAGAAGGGCCGGTACACGGGGAGAGTGTTTTTTCTTTCTCTCCCCACGCCAAGAAATTTTTTTTCCCCGCCCCCTTTCCCCCCCCCGTTTTTTTCCCCCCCCCCCCCCCCCCCCCAAGGAGCCCTGCTTCACTGCAAAGCCACAGGGAGACGGGCGTTAGGTCTGCGCAGGGGGAGGCTCCGGGACACGGAGGGGAAGGCAGGAGCAGTTGGAGCTTTCGATTGTTGTGTAGACAACAGGAAATACAAGGCCAAGAGTTGGGAAAGAGCTGGAATCACATCGGGGGCAGAGTTAAAGAGAGTCTGCTACAAAGGACGGCATTTAAGGCCCCAGAGGGAGGGAGGAGTGGTGGTGGAGGATGAGGTGTTGGGGCTGAATAGAAGCCACGAAGGAGCGAGTGATGGAGGGCGATGCTGGGTGAGGCAGTGGGAGAGCAGGGCAGTGTGTGTTTAATTGACTTTGCAGGCTGGAAGGACAGAGATCCAGAGCACAGCACGCTGCTGTCACACTCCATTACAGCCACTGGCCACATAATGAGAGCCACGCAATCAGCTCCCCACAGACCAGTCCACACACACACACCTGCATGGTCCACTCAATAGTAAAGTATCAAACACATCAACTCGCCTGCCACTCTCACGCACACACCAATGTGAAACGGGAGGTGTTTCTTTTATCATTTTTTCCTTTGACAATGTAATTTAATGGAAGCACAAGCAGAGATGTGGGTATTTGTAGTACTCAGAGGCATCTATCTAGCGAAGTAAGCACAGCATTAACCTGTGTTTCTTTGGCGGCCACCTTTGGGCATAATATTTAGAGAAAAAGTATTATCCGTCTCAAACCTGCACTCCAATTCTATCTTCCTATCTCTTGCTGATCCTTTGCTACCTTCCCATGGAGCTTTCTGTCTCTTGCTTTTTTCTGCATCCAGTGTTTGACCTTCCTGTCATTAAGAAAACAAACAGCATCCAGCAGTAACTGCTTTTCAGGGATCCGACTAAGATGAACCTTCTTGGTGGCAAAATCAATGTCCTCCCTTGAAAAACACAATAGACAATAACACAGTCGGATATGAATATCACCTCATTCCTTTACTAACTGTTTATGGGACTTTCTTGCCCTATAAATTGTGCCTCCTAAGCGCCATCTACTCTCTGACGGCTCCGTCAGTCTGCCAGTCAACATGTGAATGCAGCCTGAGAGACTCTGAAGACGAAGAAGAGCCATTTATTAAACTGGCTTCTAGCTTGATCACAGTACCAACATGACGACTTTACACCTAGGGGACTAACTTTTTTAAAGTGATCTGGTGGCTTTTTTGATTTACTGTATCTAATGTCTACAGGATGAGCAACCTAATAGTTCAACAGAAGCAATGTTGGCAGGTATGTTATTTGTAGGTTCAGTATGAATTACTAGAGATTGTTTAAAAAATACATATTACTATATATTCTTATTTAGCCACCGCATAAAATTTCCAGACCTTTATTTTTATTTTCACTCTTCAGCGAGATAATAGGCTTGTTTCTCTTCAACTGTAGAGTAAATTAATTTTGAGGAAAGCTACCGTCTCCTCATCGCTGCTCACTGATCTGATCATTTTGTCTTCCTCGTCCCCGCTGTGAAACTGAAGCTTGAGTGGATGCTTTATGTACACCGTTATTTGTTCTCTTTATCATCAACATTTGCATATCAGCCATGTAACATAACTTTCAATGTAATGTCCTTGGCATTTGCACTAAAAACTGCTTGATGGAAATGCACTTACTGTTAAATAAATTAAAATTATTTCTACTTATCCAAAGCTGGACTAATAGACCATTTCAGGCTCCCGGCTTCACAGCCTGTTTGGCCAGACAGCAGAAGTGCATTTAGCTGAAAAACCGAAATGGTTTAAAATCCGCAGCAGTTGTTTGTGATGTGGGGATGACACAAAGTGCAAGATGAATCCTGAGAAGTAAATACAGCATAGAGGGGGAGAGTGACAGGCCAATGGAAACAGGAGACAAAGGGAAAGAGGATAAAGGGGAGCATCAGAAGTGGAGAAGGGCGTGAGTGCTTCGATCGATAAGTTCTCAGCTGGCCCGAGGTGTCTTCTCCGGTGCCAGCGGGGGCGGCTTGACTGGCAGCTCCAAAGGCTGGCTGTCACCTTCTCCTGAGCGCGCTCCCTTTCCACTCATCTTCCCCAACATCTCGGCACACATTGATCCCCTCTCCCCCTGTTTTTGAGCGCTCTTCTTGTGGCCGCCTGTCTGCCGTCCGGAGCTCTCCTGAGACAGCGAGGGCTTTTGTTGTTGGATTTGATGTACTCGTTGAAAAATTTCAAGTTGGGAGCAACAGAGGTGAGAAAAGCTAAATGGACTGATATCGGCGTCGTAGACCTTCCAACCAAGAGATCCTGGTACCCGGAATGAATTATGATGTACTGAAATGAACCATAAATATATGTATGAATGCATAAATTAATGACTTGTGGGAAGAGAAGTAAGCGAAGGCATTAGCAATTTAGCGGAAGCTGTGTGTGTGTGTGTGTGTGTGTGTGTGTGTGTGTGTGTGTGTTAACCCAGAGTCATCAGATATTTATTCATTTGATTAACTTGGAGAGACTCCTCTTTAGAATCAAAAATCTTAACGCTGTGGTTAAAAGTCATATTTTGAGGTCATTTTACCTCATTTACAACCTACTTGTGTGAGCCAACGGAATCCTTTAACAACACAACACAATTGGCAATAAACGTGGTAAAATGTTTTTCGGTTGAGATTCACTTCAGGATCCACCTGCCGGCCTCCTATCAAGGACGCACTGCATCTCCGTCTGACCCATTTAGTGTGTGTGCGTGTGCATGGGTGACTGTCTGCTTGTGTGGCGCTGAGGGAGCAGTAACCCCGGCTGTAAAGGTGAGCTTCAGGGTAAATTCTCCGAGGACGGACGGACAAACAGAAGTGCGGCTCATATCCCGCAGAGCCACCACCAGTCATCTGTGCTTTGTCGCTGTGTTGCTCCGAGCGGCGTCTCCTCTCCCCCGCCTCCATCCCTCCATCCCTCTCCGTGTTCCCAATGTCATATTTAACCTCGAGTCACACTGTGTCCTCCTCACGCCAAAGTCAGAGCCCCCTGTGGTATTTACCAACACCCCACACGCACAGGACTGATTTCAAACCAGCCTCCCCAGGAACATATACATATATACAGGCTCGGTGGTCCGCACGCCGCGGTCCGGGGTTCATGAACGCCACTCGCTGCTGCGTGTAGAAACACTGCTTCGTTGTGCCACGGAGTGAGCCGCCGACCTCCAGGAGTGTTTGGTAAGCTGGTGAAGAAGCTGACACTTTGATCTCTGTACGTTTTCCGTGCAAAAAGGGAAACTAGTATTTACGCGTCCAAAGGCAAAACTAATAATATATTTAAAGTGTTCCCCCGGTGTTATGGCTGACCGATCAACGGCTGGTTTTTCTGTAAACCTCTGTGTCTCGGTTGAGATCAGATTTGTGTGATTTAGGGCAGAGAAGGAGCATGCGACTGGCAGTTAAGTAGGGCTTGATGAACACGGCACATCTCAGACAGACATCAATCCTCAAGTTGAACTTGTTATCTGCTGCCGGAGAGGCTCCCCAGCAAGGAATATAATCAGCCACACGAATACAAAAGCAATTCAAGCGCCTTTAATGGCGTTATATTGAACAAATTAGATCAGTCATCCAAGTGCAAAGTGCTTTCTTGTACAATATTAATTACAAAAAAAGGAGCTGTGACAAAAGTTAAGGATGATAAATAACGTCAGAGCGGAGATTTCACTGCTTGACTGTCTGTTATTTATCCTAATTAACTCCTCCATCTCGGCATCGGGGCTTTAATGTGGAACATTAATATTCATATATGCTAATTGTTTACAGTCACTGTGAGAAGCGGCACATCTCGCATGGAGACCTCTCGCGTGCCGATAAGGCCACCGTCTCCACCGTGACGTTCAGGTCTTTCCAAACGTGGCGACTCCACTGCCTGCAGAAGCCTCTCCTCGCCGGGCTCGCTTGGATACTTCAACGCTCCTCGTGCAGAGACCTGGATAAACGCACCACGGCTGAGGAATAGCATCTCTGAGGGAGAAGGAAAACTAATAGTTGAATATTTTTTTTGTCATTATTTTGGCATGCCTAGCTGTCTGCATAGTTCACAACACTGACGCGCCAGCGGGGACCATTTCTGTAATGCTTGAATGAATATAACCACAATCAACAAAATAAACTTTATTTTATTAAATGAGAATAATGCTCAACAAAGCAGCATATTGCCATACCAGTCGTTTATTTGTAATATTTCTTAATTTTTTTACAATTATAACCCACTTCAGTGTCTGGAACTAGATTTTGTGTGTGTGTGTGTGTGTGTGTGTGTGTTGGAATGAATCTGAAAATTGGTTTAATTTGATCAATTTTAGTCTGCAATTCAAAGCCAGCAACATTCCAGCCGACCTGCAGGGTCGACTTGGCTGTGCACACAAACTGCAACTGCGTGATGTTGAGAATAAGGTCCGACTGAAATCACACGCAGTCCAAAACACTCGTACAACAGTTATTTATTTCAGTCACATTCACGGGCTGCTGCTCGATGGTCTTGAAGACTTAATACGCGGCTTCTGTCACTTCAACAAAAGAAAAAAGAAAATGTTTTCGTGCAATTCCAGTTCTCTTTCCCCGTCACCTCCAGCAGCGACGCTGGTGGCGCACAGGCTGAAGTGTTTTTGTTACGTTGACCTTTGTCATGTGTCACACGCTGCCCTTTTCCCACATGCACTCTTTGTCTGCAAAGAAACGTGTCCAGGCTACGTGTGCGTCTGTGGCGTCGAACAGCCGATCAAGACCCCCGCGACACGTTTTTGTCGTAGCACATATTCACACTCATTCGGAAATCAATCAACGGTATGGTGAAGGCCTGGAGAATAATCCACCATTTATCTATTCCTGAATAGTCTTGAATCATAGTTCACATTTTCTGGGGCAACAGAAACTCTGTGCCGCTTCCCTGCAGCTCAGTCTGATGAGTGGCTGCTGAGGGAGAAACCGTTGGGCAAAGAGCCCGCGGCCTCACGTAGCATGTAGTCACAAAACTAAATAGCAAATAACAAACAGATTGAACCAATTATTTGTTTTACTTTTCGGCTACAGTCAAACCTTGTATTTCTGTCTTCTGCAGTGTGCAGGCAACGTGTTTTATGATGTATTTTTGCTTTTACATCTTACATCGACTAACTCCCCCAACTGCAGACCATTCGCATTTATCCTCTTTGCTCTAGTTTATTCAATGTAACAGGTTTGGTGTCCCATTGAAATTATCCAGACTGACGCCGCTGTCGACTTCTTTGAGCGACCCGAGAGGTGTCAGCAGGGCCGAAGGCCAATCGCCAGACTTCTGCTAAGATGTTAAAATGTCGCGCTCCAACAAAATTGCATCTGAAGGCAATTTGGTGTTACTCTGGAAAAAGTGCTGTGGCTAGAATTTTCAACACTGTTCATAACACACTTCTGTGCGCAAAGTTCCTCCTGTTCAGAACGTAATCATTAATGACTTGAATGAATGAATTATTTTGTATACTTTTCTGCAGAGCCAGTTAATATAATTTTCATCTTCTCTGAAAGGGAAGATGGAATTTTTCTCTGCCCTCCATCCTTCAGCTAGTAACTGTTTTTATTTCTTTTTTTTCCCCCCACACTGCGCCTCCACTTTCTTTAATGCCTCAGAATGAAATGAAAGCCCAGTGCAATTAGGCTTCTTATCGTTTTAATTAAGAAAGCCATTCGGCCATATCTGCCTCCGACGCCATAACACATAATGGCAAAGAGGCTCTGATGCCTGAAGTACTGTGTGTGTGTGTGTGTGTGTGTGTGCGCGTGCTGTGTGTGTGCGCGTGCTGTGTGTATGTACTGTGTGTACACATGTGAATTGTATGTGTACAAGCGCGTGTGTCCTAGTAACACAGTTCCCAACAATCTCTCCGCCGCCCTTCTTTCCTCTCTTATCAGTCTGTGTTCTGCAATCACTATTCCCACTTGTGCCGCTCTCCAAACATGCTGTTCCTCCCCTCGTTATTTCCTCCTCCTCAAAGAGACAAGGTCAGGGAGTCCTGTACAAGTACTTCAAACTCAATTCAAGTACGTCGTCTTGAATGTTTTATTCTCGACCCTTTTGTCAAACATTGCCTCACTTTCCTTCTCTTACACTTATATTTTTGAAGGCAAATCAAGAGATTTGGTGGCAATTTTAGGTTTCAGATCAAGCACACACGGTGCACACTGCCAGGTTATCAATATGAATGTAAACTGCTTTTTCTTCTCCCATAAATATCTAGATAAGATGAGAGGGAGCCACATAGCTGGAACCAGATTAGTAATACGGTTTATTTCATTTTTTTCACCGTATTCAGATGATTAAAATGGAGGAAAATGGGACTACTGTTAGTGATGGTAACACCCAAGCAAGCTTCTCTCCTCCCCCTCTCCTCCCCTGTCACCCAGGCCTATCAGTGCGGAGCAGTGGTCTGTGAAGAAATTCCCAATATCTAAATTTACACACTGTATCAATCTTGTTTAATAGACTGGAAAGCTTATAGCTGCCGTTGAAAGCCGGCAGAGAGGGCAGCGGTGATAAATTGTCGGTGTGCAGGCGACAGCCGCCCGTGATATATAATGAAATATTTATGATTTATCCCAGCTAATAAACTGAAATGAAGTGCGTGATGTATGGGAACAGATGGGCCCTCTATTGATGCTGAAGCGAAGAGGCAAGAGGGGGAAGACGAGACAGCGAAGATAGGTGGAGGGGAGGAAACGCGAGATGTGACGCTCCAGAGATGGTGAGGCAAGAAAAATGCAGGGCAAGGATCAAAACATCACTAAGAAGAGCATAGTTGTGTGTGTTTGGCTGACACTGAGAAAGTGGATGAAAATGTAAAATGGACAGATGCCTACGGGGGTCGGACTAGGCAATGTGAAATTAGACTAATTGATGAAGTAGAGGAAAAGCGGAAGATGGCAGAGACCACCAGCAAAAATGGATTCTTCTTCTAACATGCTTCATCGTGTTGATTTTAGGTGAGGGAGGGCCTTTCTGCTGTTGACGCCACGTTTCGGGTGTGAACTTTTTCCTGCTGTAGTCTCTGCAAACACACACCGCTTAACCGGGGGGGGGGGGGGGGTGCTCCTAGCAGAGCTGTGTCCAGGATTCTTTTTTTATCTCCTCCGTACAGCAAAAAAGCCCCCTAGAAAATAAAAGAACATTTTAGTTAAGTGAGAAGATGTCATAACATTGTCTCACCACTTTTACAGATTATATGGTACTTAATGTATATCAATGAATTGTGTATATATAAATATATATATCAGAACTTTCGACTGGTACAATATATTTGTTCTTAATATATCTCAACAATGGCCGTTATTAACCTCCTGTAAATTGTAACTTCCACTCATTTCTTTTATTTCAAATTATTGCATAGTATAATATGTCTGAAGAGGGTCTGTAATCAAAACTACAGCTGCATGCCGTATCCCTGACCTTTGCTGACCTCCCAGTCCAACCCTCAAACTACAGTGTGCGCTTAACCTCATCTCACACACACCTATTCCTTCCTCGGGCCCAGCTGTGGACGTACCAATCCAAACGGACTCCATCCCGTACCTGCTTTTCCTCTCTCTGTTCTTTTCCTCCTCTGTCCATTTTTCTCCCCCTCTGTCTCTCTCCACTCATCCATACTGACCCATTTCCTCTGCTCGTCATCGCCAAGCCCAGCTGAGCCCCTCATCCCACATACTGTACTCATCCTCCCCCACACCTGTCCCCCAGACACCTTGTGTGTGTGTGTGTCTCTGAAGGATGATGTGGGGATCCTACAACACCCGTGCATCCACTACGGTCTGACCCTCTCTGTCTCAAGCACTCACGCATGGTTACTCACACATACACGCACACACAGCATGTATTAAAACAAGTTTACTAACACAAATCATTCATTAGAAGATATAAGACTAAATGCAAAAATGCTATCATGCTTACATCAGCATTTAGCCCAAAGGACCATTGTGTGGAGTTAAAGACTCTTAGTTTCAATCAATTACATTTGTTACAAGGTGTCTTTTTTTAATCTGCTTTATTTTTGATTAATTTGTGCTGCCTCTGTCCTCCCTTGGTTGTGTCTTTTAGGAGACACAGCGGTCTACAAAGACGGCGTGTATTGGATCATGGGCCGCAGCAGTGTTGACATCATCAAGAGTGGTGGCTACAAGATCGGTGCACTCGAGGTGGAGCGTCACCTTCTGGCCCACCCGGACATCATAGGTATGAGTACTGTACAGCTTCCGTCTCTAGGGAGATGATGTTGTAGTTTTAGTTATTGTGTCTCTCTTCGGTAGTGCATTGAATTATGGTTCAAAATTATAGGGGGTCATCAATAATTGGTCCACACTTACAGGTCTTATAGGCCTTTTGACAGTTTTTCAGGACTAAACAGTGGAATTTTCTTGACCTGTTCCCTAAAATGAAGAGATTTATTTAGAAACCGCACCACAACTCCTGGACCGTCCATCTGATGTGCACGTTAACCTCTACTTAAACATGCAAGTCTAAACTCTAGATCCTGCTGAATGTTCGGGCGGCTGTGTGATTTCTTCACTTGCAGATGTGGCCGTGATCGGGGCTCCGGATGCCACATGGGGTCAAAAGGTCACTGCAGTGGTGCAGCTAAAGTGTGGGCGGACTATGACCCTTCCAGAGCTGAAGACCTGGGCACGGTACTGTGACTTTAAGCTACATCATCTGTATTTGTTAGGCAGTGCCTGTTGTTTAGCTCGCTGATTCAATTTTACTCTTATTGTGTGTATACTTGCTTTTTCAGAGCAAACTAAATGCATGTCAAAGTTTAATATACATTTATGTATATTCATATATTATATATAATGCATAAACTAGCATCCTTTGTCCTAGGTTTTTCTTTATATAGACAACAGCGTTGAATAAAAAAACAAAGCTTCTTCCTCCATTTGAGGCAGACAAAATGTAGACTGAGCAAAGAACGTGAACGCGGCTCAAGTTGTGCAGCAGCACAAGCTCACATTCCTGGTTGAAAGTTTGATTTCATAGTTGCTTTGTAAAAGATAATTTATCATAGTATTACAGTATTTGCTGCAGCAGGTGTCCTCCAAACTGTAACAGTGGAAGCTGTGACCTGAATAACTTACCAAGCCACCAACGTGAAATCACAAACGCAAAAAGAGTAGCATGCCCGACTATCACAAAGGAGCGCTGACTTGCTGGTCCTGTCTCGGTTAAATCTTATTATGCCAATTCGAGGAGACAATTTCCGCAGCTCGTTGTCAGTCTCGTGGTAAACAAATGGAGGCTTGTGATACAGAGATCCTGCAGTTCAGCACACACATCCCCAGCAGCCGGCCAGTATGCCGCCTGCAGATCAATATGAAGGGGAAACGGGGGCCGGAGAGGTGAAGCAAAGACAGATAATGGAAAAGCGGAAGACGCAGAGGACGTGGTTGTTACAAAAGGCTTTGCCTTACGTGCAAACTGATTTTCATTTCTGCCCTTTCTAAATGTCAGTAGAGTTTATTTTGTCCAACAGTCACAGTCGGCGGGGACATGCACCGCTTCGCTTTAGAGTAACTGAAGGCACAAGCGCTCGTCTTTTTCCTTTACTCGCCAACTATATCATTGTGTGTGTGTGTGCGCGTTTGTGTGTGTGCGTGTCGGTCACGGCTGTGGGCCCCATATGGTGCGGGTCGTTCTAGATCCGACTGCTGCGGCCGGCTGGTCCAGCATGGTGGCTTACTCCTACTGCTTGTGACCCAGGTTAACACACACACACAGGCGCACACACAGACACACTCACACAGTCTTACACACACAGTGTTTTGCAGCCAGGGGGTCTGCCAGCAGACAGGCAGTGCCAGCACACAGGGAGCAGGGGGGGAGAGAGAGAGGGAGATAAAATGAGACATAAACAAGTAGATGGATGCTCACTCTTCAGTGCCCTGGCTTCAACTGTCAGTCTGAATCTCTATCACACCCTCTGCGCCCCACACCGCTTTGGACACACACACACACACACACACGAACAAATACTCACAAAAGCACGTCGGCCGGGAGAAAGGGCGACACAAGCGAGCCCTTATTACAGAGACGTGTGTGTATGCAAGTATACTCGCTCACACTTTGCTCGCTGAGTCCTCTGCTGAAAGGAGTGTTTGATGGGAGCAGTGTGAGTCATTATGATCACTTTCACCACAAGCATGCATGCAGGAAGACACACACACAGACACACATGCGCGCACACAGTCAGGCACAAACAAACAAAAAAACAAACTAGGTTAGAAGATAATAGAAAAGCTCCAGGCTTCAAGACTTGACGTAACAACCCTGCAGTCGGAAGCGGAAAAATAAAACACTTTTAATTATCGCAGTCTTCTGTTTTTCTTTTTTTTCTTTTTTTTTATTATTTCATCTCGCAGTGATTATGTTGTTTTGTACGAGAAGGGAATCATCTGTGTCTGGAAGGCGAATTGGGGATATTAAGGAGGAGAGCTGCAGAGTGTATGAAGGACATTTCTTATCTGCAGCACTCTGCCACAGGGCTAGTCTTTGTTTTGCAATTGTTTTCTGTTTTTCTTTTGTTGTTGCATTTGTGTGCGCGTGCATATTCCCGTCCCTGTGTGCACATTGATCAGTGTTGTCTGTGTTTATCGTTCTTTCTGCAGTAAACAGTCTTCAGCGTATTAACAGCCGTATTTATTGCAGGGAGCACATGGCACCCTACACCATCCCCACAGGCCTGGTGCTGGTGGAGGAGATGCCGAGGAATCACATGGGCAAGGTCAACAAGAAGGACCTCCTGCGCCACTTCTTCCCATGACCGGCAACTTCCCAGCGCGATCAAATACAGCGGAAACACAAAGTAATGGAACAGAACCACCTCATGGAAAACAACTTATCCTCTGAGTTAATTTAATCACAACTATGAATAATTCTATTACGTTAAATGCCACTTATGTTGAGCATTGTTTATCGGTTATTGCACAATTGAGTTCTGGAAGTCATCCCTTTTGATATGTGATTTATTGAGACAATATGAACCAGAACTCCGCTAAGAAGACACAAAATGTGATCCCAACTAATCCAAATCATCTAAAATTGCATCAAAAATACATGGTGGTGGCTAAAATTTAAAACCAATATGTGACAGACTTATGATATCGTCATAGGACATTGTTGTCATAAGACTTTGTACTCGTAATTGTTATGCAACCTCAATTGACCCACTTTTGTAGGGTTTGTAATTGTACAGTTCCATCGCACAGTGCTGTATGAATCAAAGTATGTTGAGCACTTAGCACGATCACGCTACAGACATGACAAAATAAATCATGGAAACGGTTGTTATGCAGATCTTATGGGCACTACAAAGGAAATTCAGATGGTAGTGAGACGGTTCGTGGAAAGCAAAAATATAAGCGAGATCTTTCGGAAAAAAAACCTTTGTTGTTTGACTTTTATACTAACTGCCTTAACCAGGTAAGAATTTAATACCAATATGACAAACATCTAAGATGCTAATAATTAGTATGATGCATTTGGCCTACGCTGGCCGTCTACAAGGCATCATGCTTACACATTGAAAGAAATATAGTAGAAATAAGCAGCCCTCGGCGGGACTCCGACGTCCTTCTGATGCTTCTTATTTAAATATTCCACACGCAGAACGTTTAGCAGCATTTTGGATTTCAAACATTCACAAGGAAATTTAAAATGCTCTTTAGTGTAAGGGACATTATAAGTGTAGTGTAAAACACTTGATATACCTCACCACATAATGTGGCCCACACCTCAATGACTCCTCTTGACATATAGATTAGGCTAATGGATTGTGTCAGATTATACTTATCCATTTCAATTGGAGCAATATGTCCCTTCTATCAACTAGATGTTCAACTGTTCTGATAAAAGGTATTAAAACACAGTGGTACTTATTGGTGAGGAACTTATTGGTACATTCGGATGTTACTGGTGGAAATGGTTTGAAGCGAGAATACTAATGAACACATTTTGTGACAGCGCCGTGTGACCAGAATCAGGAAGCACGCTCAATTGCGCTAAAATAATAACACAGCGTGAGGAGAGAGAATATGGGACAAAATGAACTCTGAAATGTGATCAGTGAGAAAACACTGATGATCTGAGTATTACACACACACACACACACACACGCACACACGCTGTGGAACTTAAAATGACAGATGAAGTTTTGCTGAAAAGGAGACTAATTAAAAAAACAACAACTAGTGTTTGAGTTATTTTTGTTTGTTACTTTTTCAAGAACCACAGTGGAGTCGCACTTGCCGTGCTTGTTTGTGTGTGTGCGCGTGTGTGTGTGTGTGTGTGTGTGTGTGTGTGTGTGTGTGTGCGTGTGCGGGCGTGTGGTTACACAGGTGTGATGAGAGCCTGAAGGTGGATTTCTCCAGCAAGGCACAACATCACAGCTGGATGCCCTGCACTCCATCTGACTTACCCTCTCGCTCCGCTGGCTCTTCTCACCTCTCATCCTTTCTCATCACCATTTCTCACCAACACTTCACCTCTTCCGTCTTCATCACAAGCCAAAGCAGATTGCAGCAGCACCACGGCCAACTTGACTGTGAAGTCTTCTTTCTGAATGAGCCCTGGCACGCCGCCAGAATGGGCAGAGCGCGTGTGAGGAGATAAGAAAAGCCGCTGAGGAGCAAACGCACGTGAGCGGAACCCGTGAGAGAAATTGAAGCCTTAAGCAAAGCGGGCTCACGAAAGTTGACAGAAGAGAGATGAATGACAGGAGTGAAGATGTTGAATAAAGTCGGTGTAGGATTGTAAGCGAGGCGACATGCAAAGGATTTGCAGATGAAGCCTAAAATACGGTTGCGATAAACAGTCGCGATGACCAGCCGGAGATGTAAAGAAACACACGTGCAACCCCCAGCCGATACGACCTCCTGTTCACGCACACACACACACACACACCGACGCACACGCGTCCGCCCACAGTCACCAGAGACCTGATTAAGAGAGCAGAGCTATCGATCTGTGGGCTGGCAGGCTAGGATGGATGAGCACGCAGGGCTGCAGGAGCACCAGAGGATGGCTTCAGTGCCCCCCGAACTCCCCCCGCCGCCCCACCCAACCACCCACGCAAGACCTGGGAGCGGGCCGGGGGCCGCGGGCGGGAGGCTGCAGCGAGCAGCACAGGGTCAAAATCAACAACTGGAGAGCGACTAGAGCCGTTGTGCAGTAATAGGTATACACTCTACTGTAAGTGTGTGTGTTTGGGGTGGGGGGGGGGGGGGCAGCACTGAGGACGGGTACCAGTGTCTCCCTGGTGCACAAAGGGAGGAGGGGGAGGGAAGCTGGTGGATATTCCCTGGACTCGAGCTTGATGGAGTACTGGTGCCCTTGAACTACATGCGCCTCCCTCTCTGAAACAAACACACACACACACTCAAACAGTCCCGTCCTGTGTTTGCTGGAGCGTGGTGAGGGAGGTTGTCTGCAGATGGCTGCTTATTGGGCCCAAGGGTCCTGAAGGCCGGGTTATGGGGGACACCGGTGAGGTTGTTTATGTCTTTGAGACACTTAGAGGGATCGGGCACATATAGAAGGTTTGACAGCAGTAGGCGATGTAGTAAAGAGATGAAGGGAGAGTTTACGTTGACGTGCTGGTTGTTTTTTTTTACTTTATCACAGGTTTCACTTTGGTTGTAAGTCTTCCAGCAAGATAATATTTGACTTTTCTAGATGGGCGTAGCTGCGTTTTCCAACAGTGATCAGATTAGGTTGTAACAGGAGCCAGCTGGCATCACAAGCTAACAACAGATTGAAACAGTATTGGATTTCAAAGTGAGATTCTTTTTTTTATTACATCCAGCGCACTGATTGAATGGCAGCTCATTCAATCATCGATTAATTTTCACTACCTGCCTCTCGGCGTCGTATCCCAGCATACACCTGGTGGACGACAGACACATAGAAAAACTCTGCAACTTTGTGAGAGTGCTGACAGAGACCTGTGTACAGTCAAGTTATTATCAGAGCGAAGGACGAAGGGACGGGTCTGAACTGTCTGCATAAAAAGAGCATAGAATATATATGCATAGAAAGAGAGCAATTAAAGAGCAAGTGAACAGCGGCTGAGCCGCTGTGATGTGATTCACTACACGTCACAGTTGTGTTTGGTTTACAGGTGCAACGGGCCCCTCTTGACCACACGTTAATGTCACGTTAAGGACATACATGTCCATGGGTTGGAAGAATGATATTGCTCTTCTCATGTAACATTGAGGAGGAAAACAAATATTCATACTTTCCTTAAACTGTGATTCTTTTTTTGTTTTTCCACAGACAGCTCTTGCACAGCCCTGAGAAAAACACCAGCTGGCTGACGAAGAGTTACTCTATGGTCACATTTAAACGCCACAAAGCGGCCAACGCAGAGAGGTCAACACTGTAGTGATATGCTGCTTGCACTCGGAGGATTTGCATTTGGACCCGTGCATTCAGCACGTGGCTTTGAAGCTCATCTTCTGTCACTCTGACTCCGCAGAGGGCTCGGTCTGCCCGTCAGTCTGCCGCGAACATGAAAGCCATCCATCATCTAGGAGTCTGGAGGAGAAAGAAGTTCCTCCCTCTTCTCTTTGAACACAGACTGCATAATAAACAGGTCAGGCTGAAGTAATGAGCCACAGAAACACAGTTTGTCTCTGAATTTGTGGCAGTACACGCTGCCGCTTTGTTGTACATTGCAGCCACAAACGGAAAAATCAGGCTTCAATTATACAGTCAAACATTTCCATGTGCACTCTTTTGACAATCACAAAGGGCTGCGGGCTCGCAGCTACTTGATCAACATGACAGGCTTCATGGATGTAAGTGGGTAGAGAGGGGAGTGATGGGAGGATGACAGGCACGGCTCTTCAGCCCCAGGGACACCCTGAGTATACAGCGCACACACACACACACACACACATACAAACACACATCAGTGCATCCAGAACCCCACCAGGTCTGTGTGGGTGCGTAACCGATGCTTGTAGTGGCAGGTTGTTGTTTACATGGAGCTCATGTTTATTCTAAAGCTACTTACACCTCACTGGCTCAGCCCCGGGCTCCGTTCCTGTGAACCTCCCGCTGACTGGCTTTCGGTTTTCTCGTTGCCTTTTTCTCTGTTGACCTTTCCCCCCCCCTCTCTCTCTCTCTCTCTCTCTCTCTCTCTCTCTAGCCTTCCTTTTCTGTCCCTCTTGTCCCCCTTGTTTTTTTCTCATTTTCTGTGATGTTCCAAGAAAACATGTTTTTTAAATAAATGCAAAGACAAATCCAGCTGTCCTGCATATTTACTCTGCGGCAGCACTTACTGGTACAAAGTAGATATGTTCCGTTTTACTCAGTTCAATTACGGATTCAATACAACTTCAAGGTACTATTTAGAGTACAAAGTACAACATACACACAGCAGTAATAATGATCCTAACTATATGATTTGTCTGCTTACGTGATGGCAGAACTAGATATCGATATGCTTACAGTGCTATTCTTACTTCAGGTTAAAGGGGTGATAGTTATGAAAAACTATATACTACTATACACAAACTGTTAAATAAGATAGCTCAGTCCGTTTTCACTCGCGGCTTGGGAATAAGGTTTCTGTAAAGGTATCATATTTTTCTCTCGTGCCAATTAAAGCAGACGGGGTCTTTCCAGCAGAGGTTTCTCAAAGAGACAAATGGGTTTGGGTTAATACATGTATATATCACACAGTAAGACAGTTTTTATGACATTACTGCATGTTTTAAGTACAAACCCAAAATCAAAATATGACTTAACATTAAATATGATTTTTATTACGCTTTGTGTCTTTGCAAACGATCGCAGCTAAAAAAGAAACTTTTTGCGTAGAAAAAAACTGAAAAATACAGAATCAATAGTGAATTATCATGTTCTAGCTCTCATAACTCGGCCCCCTCAACAATGGAGAGAGACAAGGTCATGAGAGAATAAATAGCAGGCGGACTAGCTAATGATCTATCATCCTGGACAAGCGGCTGCACCCGAGAGCGGGCCGGCTGACAAGATCATTAATAAAAGCTGCTGGGAGAGTGATCGATTGGCTTGATGGATGATCAGAGCCACAAATACTATAAAACACCTGGATGTCAAGCCTCGTCTCTTTAAAGGGAATGAGGGGCCTTAAAAAAAAGAAGAAAAAAAGGATCCAGGGCTCAGCGGGGATCAAACCCTGACGCTCAGCCACAGTGCTCTCTGGAAAACCAATTCAAAGGCGCATGTGGACTTTTGTGCGTTGCTGCGCTGAGCAGCTCTGATGCAGTCAGTGTGTGTTGTGGTCCACAGAAGCTCAGTGTGGGAGCATCAGTGTGATTTGAGTTAGATCAGGGAGTCAGCAGGTGTCGTGCTCCACAGCCTGCTGCAGCAGCGCTCCGCCGTGGTGTAATGGGAGGTATTTATTATTGACTTGCTCCCCTCACACCATTACCGAGCTCCGTGGTGGTAATCTGCCGTGTCTCCACTACGCATCTCCACTCCTTCCTTCGTCGCTCCTCTTTCTCCCTGCTCCACCCGTGGTGTCTTTTGTCATCTACACACACACACACACACACCTTACTCAGCAGTTCATCTTGATTCCTAATCTTTTCATCGAGAGAGAGAGAATGAGTTCAGAAGGAGTGTAGTCTCCTCGCACGGCTGCGCGTATCGATATCTGTACATTGATCTGGCCGCGCCTCTCCTCCTCCATTCGTCCAGATATAGATTGGTTCTCCCCGTCAGGTATCTGTGCCTCGAATCTGACTGATGGGCGGAGAGCGCACGGGAGGCTGTATTGAACCACGGTGTCCCACATGCCAGGAGAGAGTGTTACACCGCTGAGCAAAAAGGCAGCGGAAGGGGAGAGGAAGGCCGGACAGACGCTGGGAGGAGATCACATTCACAATCCATTCAGTGGCAAAGATAAAGGTGTTTGTGTAGCGTTTCAAATAGCTTTTTACTGACCCCATCATCACTTTCAGGTACATCAATTAATTGTATGCGCTGTATTATAGAGAAAAAACTCATTTGTTCGTGTGGCTTGTTTTGTCAGACCAAATAAGTTCTATTTCTAACAAGCTGTAAATCCTTATGCTTGATAAGTTGAGACAAACTTTTGTTCGATTAATGATTTTAGTGATTCATTATTTATCACAATATAAGTCAATTCGTTTTCTTTTGATCAAGTAAGGATTTGTTGTTTCAGCACCAGAGGTGTGTAAACACGATTTAGAATAAATGCATGAAGGTTTTTCCAAACATATACTCAGTTCTTCATAGACTCAACACAGATTGAGCTCAAAATGAAACAACCAATGCTTTAAACTTTTGGAACATAGTTTTCATTTTAACAAAATCCTCAAAACGCTTGTTGTTTTTGCCAATAATTAAATTTTTATTTTCAACGTTTTTTACCTTCCAGATTTAGTTATTTTTTTAAATGTTGTTTCAACATGTTCTGTGTATATTTTTATAATGCAATATGTTAGATAACCTGCTCACTGTATCAGTGACTTAACAAACTGCATTTCAGCAAATCACTCCCATAGACGCTTAAAAAACATCAAACAAACAATATGAAATGCATAGTTTTAAAATAAGTTAGTTTGTGGAATAGAAACCTTTGATTAAGGAACTAAATTGTTATCACATAATAATAATGTGTTCTGTTAATGTATGAAAGCAAGAACTTAATGAATGAATAATGAATAAGCTCTATACATTGGATAGAAAAAGCTTGTGATTTGATTTATCTGGTGTCGTTGTTTGGGTTAAGGAGACGTGTTACATGTGAATGCCTTTTATCCGTATGTGTCCGCGGCGTCCCCATCAGTGCCTGACCATAAATCAGAGGCCCTCCGGTCGTGGGAAAGCCCAGCTCGTGACTCCACGTGTAATTACAAAGCTGACATTTAAACAGCAGCAGCCATATTTCACTCCTGCGAGCACCGAGCGCTGAGTGGTCTACGGCTGGAGTAAAAGTTTTCAACTACAAAAAAAAAAAGAGACAGGAAAAAAAAATCGATGAGAGAGAATGCATTCTAATGCCTTGTTAATGGACCCGCATATTAATTATTCAACGGTGGCCATTTTGTGTGCTCATTAAAGTGGCAGCTGGGAGGAGAAATGTCCTGCATCACTCGGCCCGGCTCGGCTCCAGCAGCGTTATTACCACCTTCCCAGTGTGTGCTGCTCATCCTCTCATAACATTGATCTGGATCTGTTGGTCGGACACGCGTCCATATTGTTTCCGTGTCACTCTGCCTGGTGCGCCGTTCCTATGAGAGATGTTATCTCAAGCTGATTTTTGTTTAAAGGTCTAACGCGGAATGAAATGTCATCTGCAACGTAATCGAAATAGTTCATCCGAGTCGTGTCGTGTCAATCATTTTGGGAAATGTTGGAAATCATTAGGCAGGCTCCAGTGAACGATAAGGACGGAGGCGAAGGGTATACAAAAACATGAGAAAATATAAAAAACTGATAACACTCAAACCGGCCTCCTAAATGCCACAAGCTCATTCTCCAAAAATGTTGATGATGATAACAATGAATAAAGTAGATGAATCTATGTATTTACCCTGAAACACTGTTAACTAAAGCATAGAGCGATTTTTGTGTTCGTTTCAAATAGCGATTTCAAGTTAGTCTTTAATTATTATTACACTGAACGACATGATCTGTAATATGCAGAAAACCACAGTATGGTGACGAAAGTGTTTGAAAGAAGATTAATTCTCTCCACGCTTGATTCACCACTTTTGAGCGAAACTTTAGCAAAAGTGCAAGTAAGAGTTTTGCGTGACGATTCGCAGGGATCGTGTATTATTATGGGATTGAAACAGCCAGTAATCCAGGAGGGACCAGTAGGGTTGAGGATGAGATGGAAGGCTGCCATCAGGAGGGCCGGCCGGTAGTTAGGAGACGTGTGTGAGACAGGAGCAAATTAAGATTCCTCCTTGGCCTCCTTTCAACCTGCGTCTGCTGGCTGCTCAGAGGAGCTGCTGCGTGACGGGATTCCTAATGACACTGCAGCACAGCCATTGCCACAAATTGCTTTGACTTGATTTATTTCTCCTTTTACCCCCCTCCTCTCACCACCTCCACCACCCAGTCACCCACCCAAAATCACCATTCAACCATTCAGTCTCTGTCTGTGTGTGTGTGTGTGTCCTCAGAGACACACACACTGTGTGCATATGGGGTACCATATCCTCTCCCGCGCCACGCCAGTGGCACGGAACATCTGTCTCTAGGTCCCGCTGCCACACAGTGTTATTGTCAGGGTAGGTCGCTCACTCGACTGGCCGGCCTGGAAAAGGCCTGTGGGCAAAGCAGGGCAGGAATGGCTCGCATATGAGGGCGTCCAGGCGTAAACTTGTCCCCGGGTCCGTCCTGCTCAGGCCTGCCTCATGCCATTTGTATCTGGGTCTGTGTCTGTGCGGAGATTTTGTAAGCACGGGCCGGGATTTTATAGGTCAGGGGCCACTAAGGCATCAAAAAACAACCAAGGGCTGCTTTAGTGTTCCCTCTCCGTCCGTCTTTTGCAGAACGTCTCTCGGGCTTGTGTCTTTCCGTTTGACTTTGTGAAATTTTTGTTTGCCGTGCACAAACCTTGCGTGCGTGCTTCCCGTTCTTGCAGAAGTGCACACGTAGCAGCGGTGCATCCCTGTGCTCTGTCACTGTTTGGCCAGTTTTAATCTCCTTACATTTAGACTGTTTAAATAGTCTCAGTTCAGCTAAGTTCCTATTTACCTAACCAAAGTGGAATGCTATCAGAGGCAGCAGACAGTAGTGCGCCAGTCACACTGCAGATATCTCCTTCATGCAGCGACAGCCCAGATAAGAGGGAATGGGGGGAAAGTACTGTTTAATCAAATAGTTGAGGGAATCGGGAATGAGGGCAAGGAGCGTGGGGTGTCCCTGCTGATCATGAATCCAAGTGTGTGTTAAGTTCTACTTAAAGCAACAGCGAATAGGTTTTTCCTAAAAGACAATTCATATTATTATCGTAGAACTGTAAATCTGTATTATAACGAATAATCTCGCTGTATCTTCAGGTGACCAACTAAGTGAGGAAAATATCATGGAAAAGAAGTTAAAAAAAATTGCATCAAAAAATGAAAGCAAAAGATATTTAATAGGTGGAAAATGAAATAAAAAAATATTTGGCCGAGAAATGTGATGGAAAAACAACTATTTTGTTAAAAGCATTTCCATTTTTCTCAGCCACATAGACCCCAAACAGCAATTTGACCAAGGGTCAGGTCTGATATTTC